GCCCCTACCCCGCCTTGTCTGAGGCCCTACCCCTACCCCGCCTTGTCTGAGGCCATGCCCCCTGCTCATTCTTCTTCCCTCTTTCCCCCATCTGCTCTTCCCCTCTTTCCTACCACCCCGCGCAGGTCAGGAGGGCCTCGCCTGTGGAGCCAGGGCAGGGAGCTGCAGCCACCCGACGCAGGTAGGAGACGGCCCAGGCTGAGTAGGGGCTGGTGCAGGTGATGACCCAGTGCCACCGCTTACTGCAGGTGGGAGACCTCGGGAGTGACCGGACGCTGTCAGGTCCCCTTTTCGACCTGGCCATCCTATGGGGGCGTACAGCGTATTCCCTGCCCCTTTCTTGTGGTTTCAGTCTTTGGGTGGGTGCATTTAGGAGTGAAATGGAAAGACAAAGGAAGGGAGGGGGGTAATGAGAAGAGGGTTTTGGGGCAAACTGATCAGCCCACGGGGGGAGACTGTTCGGAGTGAAAATGCAGCAAACCCTCCGACACCCTCTGTGTTCTCGTTCCCTGCTTGGACTGTTCTGCGGCTGCGTTGCTGGCTTCAGTCTCTGGCTGGCTCCTCCCTGCAGTTTCTTTCTCTAAGGCCACATGGCTGGGGAGCGCTGCCTGGGTCCTAGTGCCCCCTAATGGGGGTTTCCCCCAACCCAGAACTGTGCAGGGGTGCTGAGGAGGAAGGGATACTCCTGGCTGGCCCCTCCCCCCAGGGCAGCGGTACCTGCTTAAACTGCTTTGAGAGCTGCTGCAGTTGCGACTCCGCAGAATCCCATGCGTTACGTTCCCCGTTCAGCATCAGTACTAACTGAGAACCGCTCCTGGATTAGAACAGCAGCTCCGTGCCATGGCTATTTTAATCTCTGAAAACAAATTTACCCACTTCCAGCAAAGAATTGACCTATTTCGTGCTTCCTCTCCCAGCAGTGCTCACTGTCCTAGCCCCAAGGTCCAACGGCTGGAGAAGGGGAGGTTTAACCTCGTGCGTGAATCGCTCTGCCTTGCTATATTCCTGCAGGAAAGGCCGAGCATGGTCCCTTGAACAGGAGTCTCTGCTTGTGGGCTGGGGGTTTCAGATGGCGCTGGCTAGAGGGGCAGGAAGCAGCTACCTGGCAAGCCGGATGTATTCTTGTTGTTCATATTGCTGTAGTGCCTCGGAGACCTAAGTTTTCTCTACAGATCCAGAGGCAGTTGACTCGGCAACTGAGGCGCAGAGGTGGCTGAATGCCCTACCCCTGAACAGCCCTGCAGAGGCAATCTCTGTCCCAGAGCCATTCGCTGGAAATCAGGGTTCGTTCTAAGGATGACAACTAACAATGTATATTCCTTCTCTTCCCCCCTCAGAACATCCCCACCTTGGGAAGTGTCGCAATCACCATGGCGCTGCACAACTGTGATGAGGTAGCAGTAGCTGGATTTGGCTATGACATGAATTCACCAAATGCACCACTCCATTACTACGAGAGCATCAAGATGTCTGCCATAAAGGAGGTAAGGGCCCGGGGGCTAGCTGAGTCCAGGCCTGTGAAATTGGTGATAATGGGTATGGCTTTTCCTGTGGAGGAGCCTGAGCCAAGGGTGTCTGGGCTCCAAGCCACGGCCCAGCACACGACTGCCAGAATGTTTACACTTAGCGCTTCCAGGGACACGCTCAAGCAGAATGTATGTTACAACCGGTTACCATCTGCGTGGGAAAGTCCTCTGCATACACGTGTGTGTGATCCCTTCCCCTTCTCAGAGCTAGCGCCAGAGGCCAAAGTAAAGGATGGAAAAGTTACAGAGAAATGTAAACTAGAATGGGCTAAATCCTGCACTGGTGCTGGGGAGTCGGGTTTTTCCATCTATTTTATTACTCTGACCAATATCCTTTTTTGTCATATGATCCTCTCCTCTCTGCTCCTGCTGAGAAATGTGGAGGAGAGAACTTTGCCGATGCATGTTGTCTTCCCGCTGGCTGTGAAGCCGCAAACTAATGTATACACACGTCCTTCCACCTCTACAGAAGTATTTGACGAGGCCAGATCTACACTAGAAACTTTTACTGGAACAGGAATCTTGGGCAGGGATGTGACTTTTGCAACATTTCTATACTGATAAAATCCCTGGTGTAGACACAGTTATACTGGCATAAAAATGGTGTTGCTGATATAGCTTATTTCAGTCGGGGAACTGGTGTGAGTTACACTGGTGAAAGCGCCTTTTTGCAGTTTGAGCTGAGTCTACACAGGAAGGGTTTGCTGATCTAGCTAAACTTTTCTAGTGTAGACCTGGCCTCAGTCTTTTAAAAGGTGCCTCCTGTGGTTTGCCAGCTCTCAGGGGCATCGTGAGGGGACAGGGGCCTGGCAAAGGGAAGAATGACTCAGTGCTTAGGGGTGCTAAGCTGGGACTTGGGAGAGCTGGGTTCTGTTCCTAGCTCCTGATACAGATGTTCATGTATGAAGACACCTTGGATAAGTCACTCAGTCCCTCTGTGCCTCAGTTTCCCTATGTAGCCACTGAAGAAGGGAGCTTCCTTTCCTGACAGGGGCATTGTGAAGAGAAATATCTTGGGGTCCAAGATACTCTGGTGATGGGAGACCAGCTAGGTAACCTGCGATAGGTAAATAGTGGGCTGTGGCAACTCTCCTTCTTGTTCAACCTCTGAGCCCATCCACTGGCAAGGCTTCTGTTGCCACATGTGGAAATGACCCTCAGATCTATCCCACACCTGTGGCCATGTGCAGTGTTCCCCTTGATGCTCTTCCAGGTTGTCCAGCCATCATAGCTAAACCAGAGCTCCCACCGTTCTGAGCTCCTCGCCCCACGCCACGGGCTCCCCATCCTCTCTACGTCCATTCCAAACTCCTGGTCCTCACTTCCAGGGCTCCTCCCTGCCAGCCACGCTCCTCTTCCAGTTCTGTAATTCTGTCTGCTTCCCCCAGAACAACCTCCTGCCCTGTCCATGCTGCCCGGGAGTCCTCCCTGACGCTGCATGCCATACAGCCCCCCTCTCCTCTGTCAGACTCTCCACCGTCCCGCTGATTCCCCTACATGATCACATACACAAAGAGCTGCCTGGGAACGGGCACGTTGGGACTGTCCCACCCAGGCAGCCCCAGAACTCTGCTCTGTACGTTCCTGCCTCGTGCCTTGCCCCGTGCTTTTATCTCCCCACAGTGCCTTGCCACGATCACTTCACAGAAGAAACTCTTCAGGGCAGGACCCGTGTTCTTACTTGAGCTGTAAAGTGTCCAGCATAGCTCTGATCCTACATCCAACTACGATCTAATGTCACAGCCCACAGCGCTGTGCAGCTGCTGCGGAGCCACCGGGGTCCTCAGCTGTTCCTCACAGACAAGAGTTGTTTCCTGGCCACGGCCGGTTAGCTCACCTCAGTGCACCTGCAGCAGAATCATTGCTGAGATCTGCCTCTGTCAGGTGAGCGCGCGCACATCTGCATTCACGCTGCGCTGGAGAACGGGGATGCTGCATGCCAGACCTCAGCAAGCTGCCTCCATACAAAGTGACCATTGCTCTGGTACAAAAAGGCCGGGGAGAGATGCTCACCTCTCTGCTCTTGCATGTTCTCCATCGCTGCTGTTACATGTCACAGGGATTTAATTCAGGTGTGTAGGGGACTCCCACTGGCGAAGTCCTGGTGAGTCACAGAACGTGTGGGTAAAGCAGAGCTCTCTCTCCAGGGAGGTGGCAGGAAGTTGCACTCTGTAGAACGGAATGAGCCCAGGGCCTTGCTGTGTCACCATTAGCATAGTCTGTGATGCAACTGCACTAATGTGGAGAGTCATCTCCAGCACCCGTCATGAAAACATCGTCTTCTGCTGTAGGGACATGTTTGTAACAACTGCTAGCAAGGAAAGTTTTGTCTTTGTGCATTTGACAGCGCTTTGTGCAGAATCTGATTAGCTGTTTTGTTCAGTTGCCCTTCCTGTCTCCCATTTAATGACCTCACTCTCTTGCTGGGTCCTGCCCTGGGCATGGGGAGAGCTCCCTGGAGAGCATGCCCTGCCCCAGGCCCTGCACTGGGATAGTTAATCTCTCACCAACAGAAGCTAGCCCAATAAACGTCCCTAGACCTCGCCCTCGCCCACCTCCTCTCTCTGAGTTTGATTCTGGCAGCCTGGGAAAGAGGTGCACAGCTTCCAAGGCCAGAAGGAAGCATGCTGATCATCTAGTCTGACCTCCTGTGCAGCACAGGCCAGAGACCTGCCCCACAACCATTCCTAGGGCAGAGCTTTAGAAAAACATGCAGTCTTGAGTTAAAAATTGCCAGCGAGCCACCATGACCTTGGTACATTGTTCTAGTGGTTAATTTCCCTCCCTGTTAAAAATGTACACCTTATTTCCAGTCTGAATTCATGTAGCTTTAACTTCCAGCCCTTGGGTTGTGTTTTACCATCCTCTGCTAGACTGGAGAGCCCATTGTCAAAATATTTGTTCCCCATGCAGGTAATTAAAGACTGTAATCAAGTTACCCCTTAACCTTCTCTTAGTTTAGCTAAATAGACTGAGCTCCTTGAGTCTGTCATTGTAAGGCAGGTTTTCTAATCCTTTAATCGTTCTCATGGCTCTTCTCTGAATCCTCTCCAATTTACCAACATCCTCCCTGAATTGTGGGCACAGGATTCCAGCAGCAGTCGCACCAGTGCCAAACACAGAGGTAAAATATCAGCTTGTCTCCTATTTGACATTCCCCTATTTATGGATCCCAGGATCACATTAGCTCTTTTGGCCAAGCATCGCACTGGGATCTCAGGTTCAGCTGATTATCCACCACGACCCCCAAATATTTTTCAGAGTCCCTGCTTCCCAGGATGGAGTCCCTCATCCTGTAAGTATGGCCGACATTCTCTGTTCCTAGATGTGTACACTTATATATAAAGCATATTAAAATGCATAGTTCCCTTGTGACCAGCTTACCAAACGATCCAGATCGCGCTGTTTCAGTGACTTGTCCTCTTCGTTATTTCCCACTCCCTCAATTTCTGTAAAAAGCGACAAGGAGTCCTGTGGCACCTTATAGACTAACAGACGTATTGGAGCATGAGCTTTCGTGGGTGAATACCCACTTCGTCAGACGCATGTAATGGAAATTTCCAGAGGCAGGTATAAATATGCAGGCAAGAATCAGTCTGGAGATAACGAGGTTAGTTCAATCAGGGAGGGTGAGGCCTTCTTCTAGCAGTTGAAGTGTGAGCACCAAGGGAGGAGAAACTGCTTCTGTAGTTGGCTAGCCATTTACGGTCCTTGTTTAATCCTGAGCTGATGGTGTCAAATTTGCAAATGAACTGGAGCTCAGCAGTTTCTCTTTGGAGTCTGGTTCTGAAGGTTTTTTGCTGTAAGATGGCTACCTTTACATCTGCTATTGTGTGGCAAGGGAGGTTGAAGTGTTCTCCTACAGGTTTTTGTATATTGCCATTCCTGATATCTGACTTGTGTCCATTTATCCTTTTACGTAGTGACTGTCCAGTTTGGCCGATGTACATAGCAGAGGGGCATTGCTGGCACACGGCTACCCCTCTGATACTCAATTTCTGTGTCATCTGCAAACTTTATCAGGGATGATTTTATGTTTTCTTCCAGGTCATTGATAAAAATATTAAATAGCAAAGGGCCAAGAACCAAGGGAGGATTACATGGAGACCTATCAGTCAGCCAGCTTTTAATCCATTTCATGTGTGCCATGGTAATTTTATATCCTTCTAGGTTTTTAATCAAGATGTCGTGCAGTGCTAAGTCAAGCTCCTTGCAGAAGTCTGTAATATCAACACTCTTACCTTTATCAACCAAACTCGTAATCTCATAAAAAACATATCAAGTTGGTTTGACAGAATCTGTTTTCCATTAACCCATGTGTTTGGCATTAATTATAGTACCCTCTCTAATAGATGACCTATTGGGTAGCGCACCCAGTACTGTGTCTCAGAGAGAGGGCCTTTCAGTTCAGTTCATCACCCAAGGACGGGGTTAGCTTCACCTTGGGTTTGCAGTGTCCTTGCCCTCTTCTTATCAGAGGTGAGTGAGACTGGAAGGTGGCTTGTGCCCCTCCTGCAACGGGGGCAGTTGGAAGGGGAGCCGGGGCCCCTCCACTGCACCAGGTTCCGTTCCAGCTCCCTGGAGTGCCCTCAGAGTTACCCTTCCTGGGTCACTTCCTACCACCTACCCCTCCCCCCAGCTCCAAGTCCAATACAAGGTAACAAAAGAAAAGACAGCTAAACCTTCAGGCCCAGTGTGGGTTTTGTACACCTCATCACACTCTCCTTTAATTCTTTACTAGCAGAGTCCTGTATTAACTGCTCCATTCTCTTGCCCAGGATCAGTGTCAGACTGACAGGCCTATAATTACCCAGGTCATCCCATTTTTAAATATCAGCACAAAGTTAGCTTTCTTCCAGTTTTCTGGAACTTCCCTGATGTCCCAAGATTTTTTTGAAAATTAGCATTAGCAGTCCAGCGAGCTCCTCTGCCAGCTCTTTTAAAACTCTTGGATGCAA